TGATTCATCTTGATTGATTCATCTTGTTTGATTCATCTTGATTGATTTATCTTGATTGATTCATCTTGATTGATTTATCTTGATTGATTCATCTTGACTGATTCATCTTGATTGATTCATCTTGTTTGATTCATCTTGATTGATTCAATGATTCATCTTGATTGATTCATCTTGATTGATTCATCTTGTTTGATTCATCTTGATTGATTCAATGATTCATCTTGTTTGATTAATCTTGATTGATTCAATGATTCATCTTGTTTGATTCATCTTGATTGATTCATCTTGTTTGATTCATCTTGTATGATTCATCTTGTTTGATTCATCTTGTATGATTCATCTTGTTTGATTCATCTTGTTTGATTCAGCTTGTTTGATTCAGCTTGTTTGATTCGTCTTGACTGATTCATCTTGATTGATTCATCTTGTTTGATTCAGCTTGTTTGATTCGTCTTGACTGATTCATCTTGATTGATTCATCTTGATTGATTAAATTGTTTGATTCATCTTGTTTGATTCATCTTGTTTGATTCGTCTTGATTGATTCATCTTGATTGATTCATCGTGTTTTATTGATGTTTGGTCCGGGCTGCTGTTCCTCATCATTCACACATTCCTCCATCTCTGCTGATTTTAACGTTAGGTTCTGCTCAGTTTGAGAGGTTCTGTGGGAACCCTGAATCAGAACATTGGTGTCTTTCTTTAGTTGCCTCCACACCCTGAGTATGGGTCTGCTTCTGGTTGGTTCAGGTTCAGTTGGAGGAAAAGTAAGAAAATAGAAGTAAAATGAGAAAACAAAGATGTCGACCTTCAGGTGATGTGTGTGTGTGTGTGTGTGTGTGTGTGTGTGTGTGTGTGTGTGTGTGTGTGTGTGCGTGTGTGCGTGTGTGTTCAGGGACTTTACTCCGACCCAGCAGAGGTCTGTTCAGGTGGACAAACAGCACCACCAAGTGGACAGAACCAGAACAGGTTGAGACGGGTCCAGTTGTGTGATGAAACTAGAACATGTGTGTGTTTGTGTGTGGTATCGTCGCTCTGCCCAGCCTCTACGTTGTCCTCCTAATTGTCACCATGGAAAAAATAATGACAAATACAAAACAGGTTGAGCAGAGTAAGTAAAGACAGTAGTAGAGTGAAAATTGTGGTCAGTTTGTCCTCCAGCAGTCTAAGACTATAGCAGCAGAACTAAGGGACAGCTCAGGAAACCCAAGCCGACCCTAACTATAGGATTTATCAAAAAGGGAAGTCTTAATCCCAGTCTTAAAACTGGATAATGTGTCAGCCTCACGGACAGAGATTGGAAGTTGGTTCCACAAGAGAGATTGATAACTGAAATATTTGCCTCCCATTCTGTTTTTGTAAATTCTAGGAACCACAAGTAAACCTGCAGTCTGAGAGTGAAGTGCTCTGTTAGGAAAATATGGAACAATAAGATCTGTAATAAAAGATGGAGCCAGGTTGTTGAGAGCTTTGTAGGTTAGAAGTAAGATTTTGAATTCTATTCTGGATTTGACAGGGAGCCGATGGAGAGAAGCTAAAACTGGAGAGATATGATCTCTCCCAGTAACTCCAGTTAAGACTCTGGCAGCAGCATTTTGGATCAACTGAAGACGTTTTAAAGAAGTATTTGGACACGAGTATTGACAAGAGTCTATGCTCTAATTAAGATTCTTGTGCCCCCCAGGGGCCGGAAATAAGTCTTCACAGTGAAGTGAGTGGTGCATGGTTTGAGCGGTGGAGCAGCATCTACTGACGAGCCGCCGCTGCATCCAGTCCAGAGTGACCAGAGTGAGAGTGCAGCTGGAGGCCAGCACCACCTCCTACTGCACTGGAAAGACTTATGGGGATTCAACTGGTCTCCTGGTTTGAAACTAGGGTCAGCTCTCCATCCTGAGCTGTAGACAGGAACCTGGCCGTGTGAAACAGACCTAATAATCAACAGCTGGCCCACAGCTGGCAGCAGCTGGCTGCAGTGACCTGCATCCAGCTGCACACCTGGACCTGTCGTTCTGTTCGTCCGTCTCTCCTTCCTGTCCTCTCAACCAGCCGGTCCAAGCAGATGGCCGCTCGTCCTGGTCCTGGTTCTGCTGGAGCTGTCTTCCTGTTAAAGGGAGTTTTTCTTTCCACTGTCTCCTTTGTTCTTGTTCAGGATGGGAGACTGAGACAAAGTGAAGATTCAACACAACCTGCTAGAACTTTTACTGATTGAATGTTTTTGTTCTGTGTCTTAATAACTTCTGTTGGGACTTGGAGCTATATATAAACTGCATAGATTCCCAGCATTCAACAGGGGATTAAAAACTTTCGTTATTCCAACGTTTATTAAAAATTGTTGTTTTATGTCGTTTAAATTCCGTTTGAATTGGGTCCGGCCGGGTTAAAGCGCCCCCTGCTGGTCCGTATGTTGTTTCTCATTGTTCCGGTAGGTGGCGGCAGAGCACCGACATGTTGTTTACAAAGACAGCAGGATTCCACAGAAGAGGAACCGGAAGTTAAATGGTGTTGGATCGAGCTGATTCTCGGTTTTAATTTGCTTCTAAAAGGTTTTTATTTGTGTATTTGTTGACTTTCTGTGGAACATGGCTGATTTAGAATTTTCTGTGGCGCTTTCAGACTTCCGGGGTCAGAGGTCATATACCCGGAAGGTAAACAGTGACGCGCTGGGTAAAGTTCGGTTGTCCTGCAGTAATGGGGCCGCTTCTGACGGCCTCATGCGGACTGCTGCTGGCGGCTCTCAGCCTGGTTCCGACACGCCTCTCCGACTCTTCTTCGCCGGTACCGAACGTCCCGAACATTGCCGCCTACTTCGGAACCAAGAGCCGCTACGAGGAGGTGAACCCGAACCTGCTGCGGGACTTCGTCAACCAGACGGTGCTGAGACCCCCACCCGGAGAGTCCTGCTCCCCGGTCCACGTGACCGCCGTCATCAGGCACGGAACCCGGTACCCGACCCTGAAGAACATCCGCAGGATCCACAACCTGAGCGCGCTGGTCCGGACCGAAGGTTCTGATGGTTCCGGCTGGCTGCGGGACCTCCGGAGGACCCGCTGGGAGGACGTGTACCCGGAACACATGGACGGTGAGGACGGGTTCGGTCCCGACACAATCAGTCTGTTCCAACTACCAGAACCATGGTCGGGTCCAGATGGGGTTCATTCATCACGTTTATTATTTATATATGATATTTAAATAGATGATCGATGGATAACGTTGTTGTTGTTGTTGTTGTTGTTGTTGTTGTTGTTGTTGTTGTTGT